TTTTTCTTCGAATCACCTACCATAACCAAGGCACATTATTGAGAAATTATTCAAGATTTTGTTTTTGTCACCTTACGCCTTTTAATGAAGATGGGAACATTGACAGGGAAATAGATTTGAACGAAGAAGTTTCGTAAAGAGTGCGAACGGTAGTGTGATGTAAAATTACTCATGCTAGAAATTTTCATAAAAGTGACCCCAAAAACGGCGCTAACTCGATAACCCATGGCCCGATAAAGTTTTGTAAAGAGCGCAAACGATAGTGTGAATGATTCTTTGACTGAGAAAGCAAGCAAACAAACAAACTCAGAGCTTTAGTAGTATATAGATAGATTCTTCAAGATCTTGTTTTTGTCATCTCACGCCTTTTAATGAAGATGGGAACATTGATAGGGAAATAATATAATAATCAATGCTCAGTTAGAGGTTTTCATTTATAAAATTTTGTTGTTGTTCTCAACTTGATTTTTATTTTATTACCCCGTCTCCATAGTTACTATTTGCAAATAGTCAATAATGTTGTAGGTCCATTTTATTGTTGTTCTTTCTACACGCCTTTATAGCACATTTTCATCTCATCATTTAATTTCTGTTGTGCATATATTGTTGTATCAAAGATATTTTAAAGTGATTCATCAGGTGGAAAACGAATAGATAGATAGATAAACCAATATGTGGCGACATCTAGTGTACCTAAATTCATCTAGAAATTTTCATAAAGTGACCCAAAAACTGGGCTAACTCGGTAAACCGTGGCCCCAATTTTAACGAAACTTGTTTTATTCTGTCTATTCTCATTTCATTACAGATATGGCTGTTTTTGCTGTATTTAATTAGTAACCCGAAAAATGGGGCTAACTTGGTAACCTGTGATCCGATTTTAACAAAACTTGTTTTATTTTGTTTCTATTCTCATTTCATTAGAAATATGGTGGTATTGTGTGCCATTTTTGCTGTATTTAATTACAGACAAGCAAACAAACAATCTCAGAGTTTTAGTAATATATAGATGAGTGTCAGCTTTTTTTTTAACACGTGTACCTAAATTAGTAAAAGGGGGACACAGATAAGTCTTATGTACAATACTATTTATTTACATTAGTTTTAATGCTTCATACAATTTTTATTGCACTATTTAATTCAATAAAGTGGCCTAGCACATGACATTAGGCTTACTAAGTGGCTTTCAGGCCAATGGTTACAAGAATCGTGTCTATTGTATAGCATTCCCAGATTTGTGGTTTGTTTTAATTCCGTTGTTTGTTTGTTTTCTGCAACAGCTACACCTATTCACTTTTCCATAAATTACTTCTCACATCACTATTCATTCTACAATGACATACACAGTTTATAATTTACTATATCCAGTGGTATTTGAACTTTGACTGAAGCTATTCTCAAAGCTGAGCTTCATTCATAGTAGTTGTGAAGATCACATGATGCGAGGTCAAAAAAAGGAGAGGAAACACAGACCTTTAACAATAAAAATATCACAAGAAAAACAAGACTTGGTTATTTGTATTCTGCAGAAACAATATCTTCTTAACAAATAAAAATTTATACTTTGGGATGGGCAGAAAAATTATAAAAAATATGCCGATGCATTGTTTACATGCAAGACTCCTCAAAGCTGTGCAGATGTGTAAGTTTGAACATTTAAAAATTTTTCTTTGCAAATTACACTTAACAAATGTCACAAAATGGCAAAATGTCAATTCTAAAATGCATCTAAGTGAAAAGAAATTCTGAAATTTAATATGCAGGCATGCACTTGACACCTAAAGGTGTTCACTGGTCTGAAATTCAATATGCAGGGATGCACTCAACACCTAACAGTGTTTATTGGTCTGGAAAGGGTTAAAGGTTAACACTGAAATTTAAAAGTTACATATGGAAAATTAACAATTTTACTTGCTTAATACCTAGCTTTTCCCCTCACAACTCTAACCTAACAAGTGTTATTAACATACTTAATATTTCCTGAGAACTAAGTAATGCTTTCCCCTCACAATTCTAACCTAACAAGTGTTATTAACATATTTAAGATTTCCTGAGAACTAAGTTAAGCTTTTCCCCTCACAACTCTAACTTAACAAATGTTAACACATTTAATATTTCCTCAGAACTAAGTAAAGCTTTTCCCCTCACAACTCTAACCTAACAAGTGTTATTAACATATTTAATATTTCCTGAGAACTAAGTAAAGCTTTTCCCCTCACAACTCTAACCTAACAAGTGTTATTAACATATTTAATATTTCCTGAGAACCAAGTAAAGCTTTTCCCCTCACAACTCTAACCTAACAAGTGTTATTAACATATTTAATATTTCCTGATATCCTGAACAGTGAAGTCCAACTTTAGTCTACAACTTTGTCAAGATGTGAACTGTTTGCTGAACTTACCCCATCCGGCCATAAGCCTTACTGTATGTTGAATCAATACGAATAGCTATTTCACAGTCTTCTATGGCTGCATGGTGGTCATTTAACTTACTATGGGCAGCTGCCCTAAAAAACAAATAATAATTAATCAACAAATAAGAACTGTATTTTTTAAACACAGTCAAGTCACTGTACTTTCAAAACAGATTAGAACAGATAAGTAAAAAAAGAATAAAACCTAATCAAAACTGAATAAAAAAAAGGATACAAAGATTGAAGCAAATAAACAAAAATCCTATCAAGCTATTGAAGTTACTACAGTATTCAAGTTAATTGATACAATAAAATGGACTTTAACATATACTTTTGTAAAAACAACACACACAAAGATACCAAGAATAGCTTGTTTCACTTGAAACAAAAATCTACAAAATTACTATTAATGTTAAGCCTAAAAACAAATAAATTTATTCAATGTATTTATTTACAGAATTTTTGGAAATGATTATACAACTGTTGATATCAAAGTTACCCCTGTACATGGCACACCCCCCTCAAAATAAAAGCTGTAAATAAAAACAGAGTACATTTAATATTTTCTTTTGAAGTCACATGGTCATTTTTATACAGTTCAAACATCCATAAAAAGTGCTGTGGGAATGAAGAGGATGAAGCAAAGGTTCGAGAAAACAATGCAATGAATCCTGTGGTACCAACAATTTTAGTGATGACAAAGATTTATGTGAAGATGTGAATGATTAACTTAGTATATTACCACATATTAATTTTCAGTAAATTTTGTAAAATTGACACAAACAAAACAATGTCATTTACAGATTTCGAAAAATGTTTAATACATCGACAGTTGTTTACTTAGAAACTATTCAATACATTTCATTACAGATGAAGTAAAAAAAAAAAAAAAACTAAACTTTCTCCAACTTAATCTTTCAATATTTGGCGTGTATTATATTCAAGCAAATATGGTAACCCCAAAATTTGTTATTAAGTGACAATAACCTAATGTGACTTGGAAAACTCAGGAAACACTGGTTTCTATTACATGACATGTAGCCACCCTACTGCTTATGCACATTTCTCATACAAAACTTGTAATGAATTCACTGCAAAATAAGCTAGAAAAGAGGAGCAGGAAAAAACATGCTACTTCATCCTATCTTGTGTACCTTCACTTATCAACCTACATATGTGTTTACTTTTAATGTCTTAAATATTAACCATACTTTTGACAAAAATGAATATCCTACAAACACCAAGACACCTTTAACTTTAACCTTTAAATAGGACGATCTACCTTCCAAAAGCACGCTTGGATTATGTAGTTTCTTGTTTTATCTTATTTGTGATCTTATGTGATTTCTTAATATAATGAACCTACAATTTATGATATCTCTTTATTAACTTTAAATCTTTATCTCTTGCTTTGGTTCAAATTTGAGCCAACTGATGTTTTTTCAGCACTAAACACTATTATTACAGGTGGTCAAATTCTATAATTTTGTAAAACTACTATTTTGGGTAAAAATCATTATTTAATGTCATATTCAGAGTCATAGCTGTGGATATCTGGTGAAGCAGTTTCTTACTATTACACAACTTTCAAATTAGACTGGTTTAATTCAAGGAAAAAATTAATGTTTTAAAAAGTTCTGTTTGCAAAAACCTAATTAATCAACTGTTCTCTCCTGCTTTCAACTGTGACTCAAGTTTAACCAAATTATAATTGGCTGATGACTAGACTGCACTCAACACTTATAGCAAATCTGTGCAAGTAGATGCATGCAATAACAATGTGTATAATTTTTCTGTGACCTTTAACCTAGATCTATCAAATTCCAGTTGACTGATTTCTTTTGTACAATATATTCAAAACTGTGTATAAAGACCCAATAATCAAAGGACAATTTTAACTGAAAGAAATAAATCGTGATTTGTTATAACTTTGAACCTAAAATTATCATACAGTTAAAGAAATAAGTAAACATAATCCTGATGACACCCATTTCATCAAAAAAAAAAAAAGATATATATACCATCAGAGGTATGTGCAACCAGCTATCCTATTATTAATTCTCAGTATAAAGGCTAAGTTGTTTTGACCAACCTTTTAACCACTGTGAAACTATACATTATATAACTCTCAAGAAGGATAGTCAGCTATTCAAAAGCACTCGAGTTTTGGGTCTTTTTTGAAATAATTGCACCTTTTATACGTGATCCTGTGTGTTAACTCTTTTATGAAAAAAAAAAAAAAAAAAGAGTATCTTTATGAAATTTGGCAAGCTTTTAATAAACATTAAAAGTTTATTTTATACAAAAAGTCATAATGTTTTGTCTGTAAATACACGGAGTCATTACTGAGTCAGTCTGAGTTTAAGATGATCTTCTCGCCTAACAAAAAAAAAATAGAAAATCACTTTTCATCTTAAAGTTTCAATTTTATTTGCATAACTTCTAAAAATCTCCTAAATTAATATCAAAAGTATGATAAAACCTTGTATCTTGTATTTTCTCTATCCTAACACAAACTGTAGCAAAATCATCAATGTACACTGAAATGAGAAACTGAACAATATGAAATAAAATCAAAAATACCTAGAATGATCATACAGTTTAACAGACAGTGCACCTGCCAAAGATATTTGCATGCCATTAGCCTTGAGGCAACCCCCACCTAATTACATATACTTTTATGTGAATTACATCACTACATGATGATGTCATCATATGAAAAAAGCACTCCACCAATAGGAGGGTGACACACCGTCATGCACAATAACTCTCCCTATACACTTGTACTCATGACAATTCATTCTTTGATGAAGCAAGTAAGAAAATGTGCACTGGAAGTGGGGAGGATGGGTGGGAATTTGTGAAGAGGTGAGCTGATATTGGAAATATATTTTCAAGTAAGGTTAACCTCCAATATGATAATTCACATCTGTAGGAAACTGCATCTAGTCTTATCCAGGGTATACTCTCCACCCACATAAGAAAGAAGGAAGAGGCAAAAAAGCAAAATTTGTGTCATGAGATGAGCGGAAGGTGAACACGACATTCCGAGTACTTGTACACAAGTTGTCAGGTGATTTTCATGTTAAGACTAACAATACTTTTCTTCATCTGAAAATTGACAAATTTCATTTGAATAATCTCTAAAACCTCCCAAATAAATTTCAAACGTTTTTTCAGTAAAAATTCATGTTATCTATTATTTTCTCTACCCTAACTTTAACCACCACTTAAAAAATAAATCTAAATTACCCTTTTATTTTATTTTTTAGAATGACTTCAAGTTGTAACTGGAAACTAGATTTGTTTATCCTTAATAGTTTAAAGCTCGTAACAGTATACATCTGTTTCTACCTAAATTTTATTGCTCTTTGAACCATGTCTAACTAATAATCCCTCTACAAAAGTTGTAAATCATTTGGGGAATGTGTAGCTCAAGTTACCCTATCACATTAGGTAACAACTGAGCTACTTGCAAGTGTACCTTGTCAAAAAGTATTATTTTTCTTTATCTTACCTAACTGACCTAATCTAAATTAATAAGTTTCTAATTTTTACATTTTAGTTATTTTTAATATAATAAATAAAGAATGCACATGAAAAAACAAGAAATACATTACTTATCTGGGTCTTTTTTTTTCTGTTAACAGATGATAAAACTTTTAACCCTACTTTTTTTATACTAACTAAATACATTAACCAGTTTAATTTCAAGTTCATGGTTTTTATCAAACAATTTAAAATATTTACGAATTACCTCATAATCTTAAGGCAAGACACTAGAAAGTAAATTTTCCTATTATTTCTTTCACACACGTCACTTACACTACACTAAATAATTTTCATTTATTATTAAGTAATGCACCTAAGAACACAGAATATTAACATGTAAAATGCAGAGAATGTCTTTCAAATATAATAATTTTTCTGGCTTTCTAATTATGTGAGGAAAGCCATTAAAATTTCAGCTGAGCCCATTGATGTGTTTCCCATGGGAATAAAGTTTGAACTGGAAGTGAAATAAAATTTTCTGTACAAAAAAACATCATAAAATTTCATTTGATAGATTAAAACTTTGGCTTTCTATTGGTTATAAATAATATAATATTTAACATTGGATAGAACTATTGGCAATTTGTGAAAAAGAAGTGATGGGTGGGTGTGGCAAGTAGGTCTGAATTTCTAGTTTATGGTTCCATAAACAAACATGATTGAAGGCTATAAGAAGTATGCTTTGCCTAACTAATATCTATATTATAATAAGTAATTTACATTAAATTCCGTACATCTTGGAGGAGTGGTATATAAATAAAAAATTAAAGAAGAAGGAAGACCTAGAGAGAAATTATCACAATTTTCATACTAGGGGTGATTGAGGATTTTAAAAAATATTTTCTTACAAAATTAAGAACTTAAAACTTATATAATATTAAATCTGGTTTATTAACTACATTTTGATGCCAAGTTTATTTGTATACCATAATAATAGCTTAATAAAATTTTGAATGTAATTGTTAAAGGTCAAGAAATGTGCATTTTGACCCCCTCATACAGATAGGGTTAATTTAAACATTTAACAATAATATTATGTCATAATAAATATTGTCACACAAGAGTATAAGAACACAGATCTTACCTATTACAGTAATATACAGCATTACTACCATCCAACTTAATAGCTTTAGTATAGCATTCTATCGCATCAGTATATTTTTCAAGTTTCATAAGATTATTTCCTATAAAAAAAAATTAACCAGTTAAATTTCAAGTTTGTGGTTTTTATCAAACAATTTACAATTTTTACGAATTACCTCATAATCTTAAAGCAAGACACTAGAAAGTAAATTTTCCTATTATTTCATTCACACACATCACTTACACCACTTCTCCATCCATTACTTATCAAAACGTTATATGACTAATGAATCTTTTATATAACCTTGAAGACCCTGTAACTTCTTACCGATCACATCAAAATCAATAATAGTTACATGTATCTTTAACCTAAACTAGTTTCTAATTTGATTCAAAAGTCCATCCATTAATTTTTTATATTTTTTCATGATATCAGCTTCACCAGATAATTTTATAATAATTCTCAATAACAACCGATACTTAAAATATTAATTTAAGATTTGCAGAGATTAAGACTAATTCTCAATAACAACCGATACTTAAAATATTAATTTAAGATTTGCAGAGATTAAGACTAATTCTCAATAACAAACGATACTTAAAATATTAATTTAAGATTTGCAGAGATTAAGACTAATTCTCAATAACAACCGATACTTAAAATATTAATTTAAGATTTGCAGAGATTAAGATACTGCCAACTGTCTACTTCAAGTACCATAAACTTTTGCCCTTGAACATAACTCACATTATGTTTCTAATCAATTCCTCCCCATAATAACAAAAGGTCCTAAAAGTTTTAATTTAAGCTTTGATATCATTAATGGTTAACTTGATATACCAGAAACTTCTGTCCTCTAACAAGATATTCTGTTTCTAATCAATTCCTCCCCTTTGGTATAATAATCTTAAAAATAAGATCAGTCAGTCTCATACTTGTATAGTAATAAATATAAAGATAAAAGAGGTTTGTAGAATTTAATAAAAGAAATTCATTTTAACCTGAAATATTAAAAATTAATTAAAATCAGTTTTCACTTCTTCAGAAAATATTAACATCACAGAAAAGTGATCTACTTTAAAGCTCCAATTGCAAAACTAAAAAAACAAAAGTTATGTCCATGCTAGATGTATTTACTATGATGCCAGAGATGATGTTTTTTGTCAACTTATTTCACACAATTACCTTCATTTTTTAGTTTTTCTGCCTTCTCTTTGTCTTGTTCAGATGCTTGTGGTGGTAAAGTAGATGACAAACCATCACCCTGAAATAGAACACAACAACTTAAGCAACATATAACTTATAAATACACCTTTAGAATTCAGTTAATTTGACAAATAAATCTTAGAAGTTCACTTGGATACCTAATTTTAAATACTGTGTGTATTTGTATCAAATTCAAATTTTATAGATCATCAGAATTTTTACTTCTTGCTTTACTGCTCAAATTCTTAAACAGTCAGACATAAATCTCTTGATTGGTAGCGAAACAACCAGATGTTGATTTATCTTCTTGCTCCACATAGAAAAATAAATGTTATGACATAAATTGTATTTTATCTTACTTTACAGTTCACTGTGACACACTATAAACTGTTGGAATGCAAGTTTCAATGACAAAGGTTCCAGTTTCTGGAATATATATAGAATTACATACAGTCTGTATAAATGTATCAATGTTGATTTACGTTATTTCACTAAATTTGCCCCCAACCTGAGAAGTAGAAAATCTGTTTACAATTCATGCTAATATAACAGAATATATCAGTAAAATTAAAATGTTTATGAACTTTTACTATTATCTGCTGAATTATTATTCAATATATGGCAAATAATTTTGCAATCTGCAACATGAAATCTCAAGATATATCATGCTTGTTCTGATACATCCTGCTAAGAAAATTAAGATAATCACACAAATATTTACTTAAATGTGATAATCATGATAACATAAAAATTCCTATTTCTTCAATGGAATACTTTTCATCGAATACACCTGGTTTTTTAACAAACTATTCCAATGCAAGTTAATTTAAATAATTCAAAACAATAGTTACTTTTAGGTTAGAAACTTGGACAACTAGGTTTTAAAAAGTTATGAACAAATGCTTATGCATAGAAATAACCAGGAAACTTGATAGTTTGAATCATTTAACATGAACCACAACTACCAGTAGTAAAAAAGATCTACATACCAAACACCACTGTCGCTGTGTTGCATCACTAAAAATTTCAAGAAGAGATCGGTTGGTAGTGACCGAAGCTGTAGTGGGGCTATCATGGCGAACTGCATACGCTGTTTCTAGACACTGTATAGCAACTTCATAAAAAAAAAAACAAACACAAAACTGAGTATTGTAGCCAAGAACACACACACACACATAAAAACAGGACATCTTTGTTTTGAAAGGAAATGTTAACATAAAGCTAGATTCTGGTGAGGAATATATTAACCAACATTACTGGTGTAAAACTTACTATGTTAACTTTGTGTTTGTATGTAACATATCCAATATATATATATATATATTGCAACAACTGGGATTAGTAACATTAATTAAATACTCAAATTTTATAAAACCTATTTTCTGATACTATCAGTGCAAAATGATGTAATCTAAATTATTTGTTTAAAACATTCGCTATAAGTTTACATGTTTATTCTGTTTGAAGTGAAGAGTAAATTATTTACAGAAATTCTTAATTTCACCAACACATTTTAATTTTTGATAGTACATCTTTTGTTCCTTTTTAAGAATTATACCAGTGTACACATGTACACTACAATTGGACATCACGAGTTTCAATAGCAAGCACAAAAGAAAATACCAAAAGATTTCCTCATAGATTCAGAGAAAAACAAATCAAGTTAGCCCCAAAAAATCACTAGTATTAAATATATCTCAAATATGACAGAGACTATAAGAGAAGGTGAGTATTGATTACATGCATACAGGAAGAGCTGTGGTGAAGACATCTGAAATTATTAGGTCCACAAGTCATGACAGCAGGAATATAATATTGAGGGTCCAGTTGGTTGTTTAATCCATACATAGTATGTTTAAATAGAAATTTTATTTTTCTGTATTAAATGAACTTTGTGTCCTTTAAAGCTATATACAGAAGACTTTAACATGTATACACAATAATTAAACAGCTGGTTCACTGTATAATACTGAACAATGAATTCGACTAAATCAATTTAGGATACTATATGGTGAAGAAAAACAGACTCAAAACCCCATAGATATTATAAACACTTTAAAGATAACACATACACCATTCCCATTTTTAATACAGTACCTGGCATCATTACAACATCATTTGTGTGTTAATCTTACTGCAGTCAATGTAATTGGTTACTTAACCATGCTGACTACAGATGGTTCAGTAAGTCAACACTAAAACAATATCAAAACTAAATTATCTAAATACTATGTTTCAGTCTCAAGAATAAGTTTGTAATTCTTATAAGCTGAGTAAATCTTTTCAGATGAAAGCTTTACTACAATTTCAATAGACCATGAATAACAATTATACTTTGATACACTCTTTCAGTGTTTATGAAATGTAGCTTGTAGTATTTCTGTACATTTTTGTCACACATTCCTACCAGCAGAAAATTTTATTTTTAAATTTGTCTCAAATGTTTGCAATATTCATGAGTAAAGTGCCTAACCTTGCTTTTCCTAAAGTGCCTAACCATGCTTTTCCTGGAATATAAATATGATGAAATTCTTCATGGTTTTAAGTGTCACTTTTACTTTAGCTACTATACAGTTAGCAAAGCAGAATTATCCATGTAGGCAAGTGATTGGGTAAAATAAACTGGCCTGTAAGACCAGTGGGTCACTGTGAGAACTGGACAATATAAAATATTCATACAAAACTTGAAATACTTGGCTGCATAATTCTGTTTCATTAGTAAATAACACTGATGTTTAGTGTATTGGAAATAGGCCACTGGACTACCATGACCAATATACTTAGTAAATATACCAACATCTCACTTCTACATACCTTCAAGACTTTCCTTAGCATCTGATGGTCAACATCTACTTTCATTTCTACATACTTTCAAGACTTTCCTTAGCATCTGATGTTAAATCTCCATTATGAAGCTGGTCTCCAAGGAACTGGATGATAGCTGCTACAAGTCTCTTCACTTCAGACATATTACTGAAAACAAATTTATCAAAAAAACAGGCTTACACATAAAATGTCCAGAAATTCTTATAATATTAATAAAACAGGCCAATAAAACCTTACTAAAATATGTTTCAGTAATTGCAAAAATCAGGAATATTAAGTAATTATTAACAATGGAAAGGAAAAAAAATAAAAGTAGACAAACACTATTAAATGTAAAAAAAAATTAATACAAAAATAAAAATACTTACTACATTTATAAAACTATAAAGTGAAAAAAAAATCAGTCTTTGTGCCAAAGTTCATAAACTAAAATATATATGTGTGTGTAACCCAAATCTAAAAATATATGTGTAACCAAAATATAAAAATATATGTGTAACCAAAATCTAAAAATGTGTATGTAACCAAAATATAAAAATATGTGTAATCAAAATATAAAAATGTGTGTGTAATCAAAATCGAAAAATATACGTGTAATCAAAATCTAAAAATGTTAGTAACCAAAATCTAAAAATATATGTGTAATCAAAATCTAAAAATGTAAGTAACCAAAATCTAAAAATATATGTATAATCAAAATCTAAAAATATGTGTATAATCAAAATCTAAAAAATATGTGTAACCAAAATCTAAAAATATGTGTAATCAAAATCTAAAAATATACATGTAACCAAAATCTAAAAATATGTGTAACCAAAATGTGTGTGCAACCAAAATCTAAAAATATATGTGTGTAACCAAAATCAAGAAGTCAGAAGAAGCTAAGTTGGCCTGCTGAGCAACAACCAAAACATAAAACAGTAATGATCCCTCACTTGAGTACTATTTCTTTAAAATCCAGTGACAATCACAAACAGTGTACATTAATTGGCTGTATGTTTGGAGGTGGTGAAATGAGCATACATGGTTCTTGAACCAATTTAAATATGTTTTGAGTACTCATTTATAGTAATATGTTCAGTTTTTGTCACCTATTACACAAAATATATTAAATTACATCAAAAATTTCAGATACTGGCTACCAAAATAACTCAAGTTCAAAACATAACATTATGAACAAAACATGGAAACATTTGACTCACAATTTTTCAGGAAATCATCTATTAGGTCATTAATCATCCCAAAAATAATGTACATCATGTATAATAGTTAAACAAATCACCCAAAGGTCACGTTAGTGTAGCTTATATGATGTGTAAAGTTTAGTATACTCTAATCTCTTATAGTGATGGCACATGATGAGACACACATTTGGCATGTAATGCTGTTTGAATACAAGAAGGGAAACAATGCCTCTATAGCCACAAATAATATCAAAGAAGTTTATGTAAATGTTTTGAATGTTTGTATGTGTCAAAGATGGTTCAGCAAATTTCGCTGAGGTGACTTTAGCCTTAAAAACTGTATTGGTAGGGGCAGACATGTTGGAATTGATATTGATGCTCTGAAGATGCTCGTTGAGTCTAACCCATGGAAACACACTCATGAAATGGCCCTGAAATTACATGTCTCTCATAAAAAAATATGTAAACATCTAAGAAATATGGGAAAACTCTATAAAGAAGGTGTTCGGGTGCCTCACGAGCTGTCCAATGATAATTGTTTCCAACGTGTGAATGTTGCTTTGTCTCTTCTGGCACGTAATGTGCATGAACTATTTTTGGACAGAATTCTCACTGATGATGAAAAATCGATTCTCTATGCAAATATTAAATGTCAAAAACAATGGCTCAGTCCTAGATAAAAACCACTTCCAACCCTAAAACCTGGACTCCATCTGCAGAAAGTGATGCTCTGCATTTGGTGTGACATCAAAGGAGTTATTTATTTTGAACTCCTCAATCCACACTGAACTGTCAATGCAGAGATCTATAGCCAGCACTGGAACATTAAAATCAAGCCCTTCATCAGAAACACCCTTCACTCATCAATTGGAAACTTGTGTTCTCTCTCATCCTATTATCTTCTGAATATCAGTGACCTTTATTCTATCAGTCCCTTGGATAACCTTGTAAACTTCAGTAAAATCAAATCTTAACCATGTTTTCTCAAAAGGAAGTAAATGATCTTAACTCAGTAAGATAACCCTTCCATCATAGAAATTATCCAAGATGTCCTACTCTGAACCCTTTCCAATAAGGAAATATCCTTTATTAAACAAGACAGAAACACAATATTCTAAAAGAGGCCTAACTAGTGATTTGTGTAACTAATTACTCTTTGCACATGTAATCAATATACTTTACTACTGGCAAGGGAATATTGCCTTGGGCACTTGAATGACTTACATACCACTATGTCAAGATATTTTTTCTTCAGTCAAGCTACTGAGTGGGTTCCCATGTAATTAAATGTGATCCAAATTATGATAACCCTTGCTCTTACCATAATAAAAGGTAATTTGCTAACTATGTTTCCAACTTACTAGCTGATCCAAGTCATTCTGTAGAACTTAATGTTCTTAATAAACTTGTTTCGTCATCAGCAAACTCTGCTTTTTTACTAGCAATTTTCCTAACAATATTGTCAATGCAATTAGAAAAATTATATGCTCAATCATTGATTCTTGAAGCATGTCACCAATAACAAATGTCCAGATGCAGTTTGATTGGACTTCATTAATGACATTTTGCTTTCTTTACCTTATGTACTTAACTCATCTTGTTCCAACCCCCACTTATACTCTTTTCTTAGTAAATATTTTGTGTTGCATCTTACCAAAAGCCTTTAGAAAATCTAAGTGCACTAAATCTAAATTCAGACAAGTAACATCTACAGAAAAAAGTTAAGAGACTCCCAAGATAAGATTTTCCTTTAGTGAATCTAAGTTGGTTTTCTTTTATAATATTTTACCAAATGATTTTACAATGCTTCTTTTACAAAACTTAGAGTTTTTTTTACACTACAGAAATAGTTTTCATTTTATCAACCAGATATTTCTCATAAGTCCTTTTAAATTGCAATTTCTTTTTTAGTCAAGTCCCTATAGTTCCATTAATCTTCCATTTAAACTTTGGTACATTCATATCCCTGACTTTTTCATTTATGTCCCAAGTAAGCCAACTGTGTTTGATATTCTGTTATTCTTTTTGGAATCATGCCCATCTCTTTATTGTTGTGTAAAATATTGGTTATATTTATTTATTCTTTTTTCATAAACTAGTCAAAAGTTTCCTTTCTCCATATGTCTTTACATTTTTAAGTTTTTTATTCCAACCACATATAATAATCACTACTGTGTTGGTACAGCATCACACTTCTTCTTTGACATCAATCGTATTACACATGTCTGAAAGCTATTTAGTATTGTAAAGAAATACAGGAACTAGACACTTTTGCCTAGTAATAGTATACAAAAAAAGAAATATTATGGGCAAGAAATAATTATTTGAATGCATCATGACAAAGATTTATAGTCAAGTGTTACTATTGAATGTGAAAATGGTCCATTTGACTCTAGAGTATAAACTGGGGAAAAAATAACCACAAAAAATAAAGTGTAGTTAGTGAGATATGAATTACATTTACAGTAGGCTGTACAATCAAAACTAAGCATTTGCAAGTTTTAATATATATATATATTTTATCTTAAAGCATTGTGGCCAACAACACCACTTTTATACCTACACTAGGCCTAACCAACTTAAATTTTACACTATTATTATTAATATTATCACTAATGCACAAAGACATTAAGCACTACTCATTCTTACTTTAGCCTATAACTGGGTGATACCTGACAAGCGCCAGCTATATTTCAAAAACTTAAAACTTTGTAATATCAAAAACAAAACTAAACTAAAGGAAAGCTAGAAGTAAAAGATTAACCCTTAAGTTACACTAAAAAAGAGGAGTCTAAAACTAAAAGTAGAACGATCTTGGTCAAATTAAAATTAATAGTGATAATAACAAATACAGAGTAATACTATTACTAATTAAATTTATAGTGACTAATAATAATCAATATTATTATTAATAATATAATAGTAATAATATTCACAGTATTAGTAATACTAATACCCTCCACCGTTACGTTATGGTCTAAATAATTAAAATGTGCATATTTTCATTACATAAGTATACGCTTAATGAAATAAACTGTAAAACAAAAGAAAATAAACAAACTCCTTACTTAAGTTTTCGTTTATAACAATAACAGAATAACTTCGTCGGTTTCGGTCTCTACTGTAATAACTAATATCCTTCTATTTGCCAGTCAGAGTTAATCGCGTAATTAGCGCCATCTCATGAGCATTATTACAAAGAAAATTAGTGAATATTAAATTGAGCACGAAAATAAATTCCTATTTCACGATATGTAAATCAAAAGGTAGAAACTTAGCAAACAGAATGTAATGGATCATTTAAAAGGAGTTTGATAATATTAACATTTAATATGGTAGAGGTTATAGATAAAAAGAAGGTAAAACTGCAGGACATTTTATTAATATAAGCTTATTGAAAAAAGGTATTTGTTTTCCTTATGATGATTTTTTTACTTTTCACTTTAAAAATATTGTTGCGTCAGCGAGTCACATGACACTGTGACGCAACGTTTCTAGAAC